GGAAAACTGAGCAAAACCTGTGATACAGAGAAGCCTTCAGCTGGCAGAAAGTATCTGAACTAAATGATATATATGGTGTATGGATAAAGTTCAAAGACAAATTTATTAAAAGGACCTTTCTTCTCCTTTCTTCCACCATGTTGTAATATGGTTCAAAGTTCAGTCTTAAACAACCCATTTTAGCTCCCTTACCTTTAAGACCATCCTCCCGTTAAGCCAGCTTATCTCTGATTGGCTGCCCCTCACAAGCACATGTTTAATACACACGTTTACAGCTTGAAATATCCTCTATTACTGACATAATACACAGCCAAGAGTAGAAAAAACATCTGAAACAGGGTGTTTTAAGGAGTCTGAAGCTTGGATTACTTGCACATATACTAAATGAAAATAAGGAAAAACACACCTAATCTCCTTTAAAATGTGAGTTCATTAACCTAAATGTACCTGCATGGCTTAATGGCATGAGGCCCAAGTGTGTTGCTGTGGAATTTTGGGCTCCTAACCATTTACTGTCCTTTTAAATGAAAGTACAGCAGCGGCTCAGGGGAGATAGATGCGGGCTTGGAGCATGAACGCACCGATCAGCTGAGAAAGTCAGTGGAGAGAAAATAAACAGCTAACAGTCTTTTACCTGTCTCAACAAATAAAGTCACAGTTGTCTTGAGCAGCTCAGGGGTCTTTTGTGAGTGTGTATAACTCTGTCAGTGTGTACCAGCATGCTCAGACAGCTTTCTCGGAGCAGAGAGGGGTTGAAATAACAACCTTTCCTCCCGTCTCCTTCTGCAGGAGTGCACCCCGTTCGCTGTGATTGGCAGTAACACAGTGGTGGAAGCTCGTGGACAAAGAGTGAGGGGAAGGCTGTACCCCTGGGGGATCGTCGAAGGTATGCACACTCGAATATTCCACGTCTGTTCAGCTTTATTCAGCCTGAATGTAAATTGAAATAGTTTGCATGTCTTGACTTGATTAATAAAGTTAATGATGCATATTTCTTTGCGCAGTGGAAAACCAATCGCACTGTGACTTTGTGAAACTGAGGAACATGCTGATTCGTTCCCACATGCACGACCTCAAAGACGTAACCTGCGACGTCCACTATGAAAACTATAGAGCGCAGTGCATACAGGAGATGACCAGGTACGTGAGGAATGAAAGCGTGAGCACGTGTAGCAAACAACTTCAATAGATGCTGATGTTTTCTCTCCATTTTCTTCATCTCTCAGTAAACTGGCTCAGGACAACCGGATGGAGAGCCCGATCCCCATCCTACCGCTGTCCACTCCAGATGTGGACACTGAGAAACTGATCAAAATGAAAGATGAGGAGGTACCAAGCAACTTTTGTTGTTGTTTTTTAAAAAAAAAAAATGATTAAACACAAACTGTTATGACTTGTAATTGTGCACCATAATAAGATTTAACATGTTACAATTTTGTTGGATTCTGTTGAGGATGTGAAAATGTCTGCTGCGTAAAACGACACACAAAGAACCAAAATGCCAGCAAAATATTTAAAATGACAGTTTTTAATCTGCTCTCCTCTCTGTCTCCAGCTGAAGAGGATGCAGGAGATGCTGAACAAGATGCAGCAGCAGATGCACGACAAAGAGCAGTGATGTGCCGCAGCGCCACCTGCTGCTTATCTCCCTAACGACAGTGAGACCTCCAGACTTTGAACATGGTTATCAAGCGTTAGTGGCAACTCTGGCTGTACATTAATCTTCAGTTTGGTGCTTTTGTATAGTTTGTTTGCCTGGAGGGTGTTTTTTTTTCCTCTGAAACTATCCAATCTCCCACTTTGAGCCCCTCGCTGTGGTCCTAACATATAAGATATAAACACATAATTTAATAATCAGTGTATCTAATTTATAAATGCAGTGCTAAACTTTTTGGATTTAATGTCAGGGTGTTTGCTGCGACATATTTTGTAATGAAACGTAGGTTCTTGGTGATGTTTAGATTTTTGAACATGGATATTGTTTTTTATTATGCGCTGGTGTGTTTCGGTGTGTGAATGATCATTACATTTTCTTTAATATTACCTTTAATATTACCAGGTATCCATCCATAAAACTCCTTTAAAAGGTACCACAGTGAATTTACGTCTACTAAAATCTGATTTTAGCTCTTCTTCATTTGCTCAAAAATACATTTGTTTGGCATTTATTTGCCGGTGAAAATCTTCTGCTCCTCTTCCAGCATTTTGTTAATGTGCCGAATGAGCTGAAAATGCTCTTCTTGCCGGTGGCTACAATGAATGGCGAGCCTCTGAGATAACGAGAGTCTGTGCAGTGCAGGGTGCATGTGCAAGCATGTTGTCATTACTCATATCTGCTAAATGCTGCTGTGGGCCTATTTTTACTGCTTTTTAGCCGATGCCCTGTTGTTGAATTTGATGGATCGTGGCCTACAGGATGCTTTGTTACCACTACAGGATCAGTAACGAGGAGCCACTACTTTGTGCTTCTGTTTAAATATCTCTTCTTGGAAGTGAATTATGCCACCAAAGTTGTGTGTCCACAGTATGACAGAGCGTGTGTGTAGGTGTGTGTGTGTGTAGTCTCTGATACTGATGAGCTGTACATATTTTTGCCTGAAGGCTGTGAGCTCAGTCTGTGTCCCATTTACAAAGGTGTGACAAATAAACCCCAGTTTGTCGTCAGTCTGGCCTCGCCGCTTCAGTGTTGTTTTTTAGGAGACTCGCACGATATCCTCATTCACGCCCTCACGTCAGAGTCCGAGCAGCAGTACTCAGAGCTGAAGCTGCTGCAAGGACTTGATCTGCTGATTCATATTTATCTCCTGCAGCCATTCTTCCTCTGCACTGCGCACGGCATCTTCTTCCTGCTGGGCAGCCCAGAAATACACAAGCAGATATGGGAGGAGAGAAATATCTCAGAAGAGCTCAGTTATTATATTATTATTTTATTATTAAGTGTCACAGTGGAAAATAAGGGTGTTTTAATAAAGGTAAAAGCACTCGTTATTGTGATAATGTTGAATGCTTGTGGTGACAGAGTGAATTTTAGCTGCTTTATTCAGCTCAGTAGCATGAAATGTCTTTTCTTAACCTAAAATAATTCAAAAGAATTCACAATCGAATCATTTGTTTGTTAATTGTGTTTTGTCTTACTGATTTGTATCTGCAAACTAATTGGAGTAAAATTGCAATTTGCTTCTCCGAAGGGCTGTATGAACATAAAACAGAAATATCCAAGATCACTACAACTTCCTCAGATTTGTTTTTAAGCATATAAACACCCCAAAGTCAAACTGGGGTTTCACTGCTCAGAGAGACTACAACAAGCGCGAGACTTACATCTCAGAATCTACACGCCTCAGTTAGCATGTCAATGTTGAAGTTCATGACAGTACAATTAGAAAAAGACTGAACGAGCATGGTCTTGGTTGGAAGGGCTGCCAGGAGAAAGCCTCTTCTCTCAGGAAAGAACGTGGCACAGCTCAGATGTGCAAAGCTGCATCCGAACAAATGACAAGTTCTCGGTGATGGAGGTGTGATGATTTAGGCTTGGTTTGCAGCCACGGGATCTGGGCACTTTGCACTCATTGAGTCAGTCATGAACTCCCCTAATATCAAAAGTACTCTAGAGTTGAACTGAAGCTTGGCTGAAAATGGGTCATACGACAGAAGAATAAAGGTGTTATAAAGGTGCAGTGAAAGTCCAGAAATGCTGTGGGAGCTAAGAAAGCTGTGCATAAACGAACGCTCTATGAACTGAAACTGTGTTGTAAAGAAGAGTGGGCCAAAATTCCTCAACAACACTGAGTCCTACGAATATCTTTATTTGCACATGACTGTACGTAACCGCTGTCAGACAGTTTAAAACAGAAGAAAAAAAATGTTTTTGATTTTTCAGCATTTTTGTGCTCCTTATTGGCTCCTTATGGAATATTTAATATTAGACTTAATACATGCCATGTCTGGTGTGCATTAAGACACATAAACTATAAAATTATAAAAGTAGATTATAAAGAATTGTACACTTCAAATTATTACACATATTTAATACATGTTTGTAGTTTGCTAAACAGAACTAGGAAGAGTCTAGAGGGTCGTGGGGTGGAGTGAAAATAAGTCATTAAAAACTTTATTGTCCTCACATTAAATTCTCTATTTATGTCATGATGGGAAAAAAATTGTCAGGGTCTGGGTGTGTGGCTGTAAAATTCCGCTGAAGGTCTGGACCTCCCTGGTATCCACCCATGGGCAGGGCCTACAGCCTCCCTCACCTGAAGCTGATTGAAGCAATTAGGTTGGAGATTTAAGCTGCTTGCTGACACTGCTTCCTCGCCATTTCATCAACTAGCCTATTTACTCCTGGGAATTCCATCACACTGAACAACTCATCTTGGAAATCTGGTTAACCCGCCTGCTTTCAGAATCATCTCCTTGCCTCACCTGCCTGCCCTTACACCACCACGGGACCTTCACCGCTCAGGACAGCTGACACACACCACCAAACCCACCCGGACCACACCACCTCTCCTTCAACGCTTCCATCTCCCACCTGCACATGCGTACCTAATCACCAGCCATCTGCCGTTGCTTTCTTGGGCCTGTCTCCTTGCTTTATCCCTCTCTCCTGGCCAAGACCCTCACGCCCCATGTGTCAAGCCTTAAGCCAAGTGCCATTGTAAACATCATCCTTGTGTTAGTTAATAAAACTTTGTTAAACCCTTTCCTCAGCCTCCGCTTTGGGTTGTCTGCATGTGGGTTTGATCTTTGGTACTCAGCCTCCGGCCGTTTTGTGACAAAAACATTTCTAGCCTCATGTGATCTCAATAAAAGGCCGACAATCGATTACTGTGTGAAAATACTCAAACTTTAAAAATAAAGAAAATCTTTAATTAGTATAAACAGCTCTTTTTAGAACTTTATTAGGATTTAAATCATCAAAACATAGCGGGTGGCATGTTTTCCACGTTGGTGTGCATGTTCTGTGCGTGCATGTGCACAGGCGTGTGCATGCCTGAGCTCATAATTTGACAGCGGTCTTTATCAGTGAGAGCCAGCTGGCAGTAGCACACACTCTGAGAGCAACTGTAAAAAACAGAGTCATCTCCCGAAGACGCGACGCACTGAAGGTAAAAGACTCTCCTCAGACCTTGTTTAGACTTTTCAGGTCTGCTGTGACATCATCAGTTTAATTTATTCCTCTTAAAGTTTAAGTTGATAGTTGATGTAATTACTGTGTTTTGTTTTCATTTACTCTACAGTGTAATGTACTTAGTATAAATGTGTGAAAACAGCAATGGGGTTGTGCAGCTTGTCATCAGCAGGGAGGTGTTTCCTGTAAATGTCAATGCAATTGACTAAAATTATCCAAAATTAATAATTTATCCTGTAAAACGTAGAAATTTGTTATTTATGAGTACACATGATGACCTCATTATTACCATATTCTAAACATATGTGGTCATTTTGTAATGTTTATGTGTTAAATTTGTTCAAATAAATTATGCCCTAGTTTTAGATCATGGATACATCACATGCAGTTTTACATGTTTTATAAAGTCTGCATGAAATTTACTGCTAATGTCATATTAATCAGGACAAACTGCTCAAACAATGTATGATCAAATACAAAGCAGATACTGTGACCAGTAAAATGAAAACACCTGCACACATGAATGCATTTTTAGCTACAACAACACAAACTGCAGCCTCACAACAGAACCGAGACTTTGTGTTTTCTGATCATTTACGTTGAGATATGAGTTTGCAGTGGACACTTGTTTGTGACACACAAACAATGACAGGCAGAGGTAACTCTAGTTTTCGAATCATTATCTCAAAATGTTGAGTTCCTTCTGAGTAAGATCGAGTTTTTAAGATGCAATTTCAAGATATTTAAACCAAAACCTTCCGCACTCATCCACGCCTCGTTTCTGTTACCTTGTGTCCTTTCCTGATTTTCTCTTCACCGATTGGCTCCTGTTTTCTTTTGTCTTTTAATTGAACTCAGTTTGCACACATTATACAAGGACTACACTCCTCCATGGGGCAGCAGCTCAGAGTTTTTTCGGTTCATGTGCGTCTCCTTGTGCAGTTAAATAACCTTTGGTCTGAAGTAAAATAAACCATAAGTACTGATTGCTGGCTCTGTTTTTGCTGATAATCCTTTTCTTTGAACCTCCAAATTACATTTATGTTATATAGAAAAAACCCCATAAGCTCATGTATGTCTGATTTTTTCCCTCTGGCACTGGTGTGGGCATCAGATCTAAAGATCCATCATCAGTCCAGCCCTTTAGATCTGAGCAGCTCTTATGCATGCTTTACTGCCTTAAGTTAGAAGAGTTTATCTTTTTGCACAATGTGGATTTTTGACTTTGTTTTATGTCAGCGCATGATGAGTTTTGCATAAACACACTAATGATCTTCATGGCTTCAATAATATACAGTGAAGAGATTGTTTCACACGATACATACAAAGGGCAGTTTTACAGTTCACCTCACTCTAATTAACCCTTGATTCCTCCTCTCTCCTCTGCAGTGATTAGGAACCATGAAGGAGTTTCTGCTCATGTGTCTGCTCCTCTTGTTTGGAGGTCAAAGGTCCTCCGCCTGTCCCCATCTCTGCTCCTGTCACGGCAGCCAGGTGGACTGCAGCAGCAGATCTCTCACAGCTTCTTCGCTGCCTTCCAGTTTCTCTGCTGGGACCTCCGAGCTCCGTCTCCACAATAACCTGCTGACCACCCTCCCTAACGGGCTCCTGGACGATCTGACCTCCCTCCGCTCCGTCTCTCTTCACGGTAACCCCTGGGCGTGTGACTGTGGCGTCCTCTATCTGCGAGCCTGGCTGCTGCGCCAACCTGCTGGCAGCACATCACATGTGGGCGTCAACTGCAGCTCCCCACCCAAACTGAGAGGTCGGCTGGTGGCGTATTTAACTGAGCAGGAGGTGCTGGACTCCTGCCACTACTGGTACTGTGACCTGGCTTTGGCCTCGCAGGTGTGTCTGCTTGTATTTGTGGTCGTGCAGGCGGCTCTGCTCGTGGCTCTCGTCTTCTTCCTCAAGAGGTTCGAGAAGGTGTCTAAAGAAGCAAAGAGAATAACAGAGGAGAGCTTTAACCCCGCGGATGGTCAGAGGGAGAACGAGTACATGCCTTTAAAGCCGTGATGTGCGAAGGGCTGATCAGCATTTGAACACCAGGGATGAAACCTCTGTCACTGTGATTTTAAGTTTAGGTGTCAAGTTGAAGGAGTAACCTGAAAATAAATATATTCAGATATGTAGAAACATAAATATATTAAACACACCAAGTTTCAGCTTCGTTTCAGGAGAGAACTCGTGAGGAAGATTTTAGATCTGAAAGGCTTGGATACAGTTTTCCCCCTTTAATTTGTCACATGTCCAGTTGCAGACCACATTAGACCACTGTAAAATGAACTAAACAAAAACAAAGATTATTTTATCTGAGAGTAAATAAACTAACGTGTTAATAATATCATTGTGTTTGCTCTTTACACATATCTGATCAAATGATGTATGAAACCTGATTTATCTACAAAATGTTATTTAAAAATCATATTTTATGATTTTAAAATAAAATAATAATCCATGTGTTGTTATTATCTGGATTTAAGCATAATTGAAGACCAAATGAAGGGCAGATATGTTGTTTGTATCTGTTTAGGGCAATTTCAAGTTGTTTATTCTTTTGAGCTTTATTTTAGGGCAAATCTCATGATGTCTTTTGCCATTTTGCATTCATACATTGTGTAATTTGTAAGAAAACAAAGCAAAAGAAATTATTCTGATTGATGTTTTGTCATATTTGTGTAACTTTTAAGCACAAAACAAATGGTTTGATTAAATTTTTTTCTAATTGTTTCAAAACATTGTACACTTTTTTCACAATTGTATTACAAATTTCATTGCTTCCTTAGCATCCTTATTTATTATACCAACCCTCTACATGTCCTCTGTCATTACATACATGAACCTCCTCTGAGGTTTTCCGTTTTTCCTCATGCCTGGCTCCATCTTCAGCATCTTTTGTCCAGTATATCCACTATCCCCCCTCTGAATATGTCCAAACCATCTCAGCCATATCTCTCTAACCCTTGTCTCATAATCTCTCAACCTGAGTTGTTCCATCTCTTGTGTTTTTCTCAGTTTCACAGTCTCCAAACCAAAAATCACAGCAGGTCTCACTACCATCTCTTAAACCCTCCCTTTCACTCTTGTTGCTATCCTTCTTTGACAAATACCCCCTGAAACTAGCCTTCACCCTGCGATCTCAACAGAGTCCTCATACACGTCCTGTTTCTCTCTTGGCACCCATGTTTTCTCTAGAGCCACCAAAATACAGCTTTAAAATGTGCCATCAGAAGAACTTCAAATGTGTTACATCACAATTTGGAAGATTTTTGCATTCGTACGTCAAATAAACATCAATCGGACCAAATCATTATCATCAAAATAAGCTTTTTGCCATCTGATATTGGCTGACCCCATAAGACAAAAAGGACCCTTATACGTCATTTAAATGTAAGTATTTTGAGTTGATTAAATAAAAATCAATAAATAAAAAAGATTATATGTTATACAGTTTAGGTTATAAACAATATTTTTAGTTAGGATCACTAAACAACGGGACGTCGAACTTTTTCTATAGCGGAACGTTCCTACGGAGTCAAATTTTAGCGACGGACCGGTTTGGTTGATGAACACTTAAATGTTTACACGTGAGGTTAGTGCACTGCTTCAGTTTTTGGATCCAGGTGTTTAAAGTCAAATGCAGCTGTTCAGATAAGAAGGTTTGTATTTGGAGGTGTTCACAAACTTTTAATCGGTTCTGTTAATAACAATTTTAGGCTAACGATAAAGTTACCTTGTTAGCTGTCGATGTTTAGCAAGCAGTGTTTCAGACTTTTTTGGTCTTTCTCATTATAACCGGTGGCTTTGGGTTCATAGCTTTTTATTCACTGACCTACAGACTTAAGTTTAAAATGGGAAAACTAAGGAAAAAACACAACTGGAAGGGGCGACAGCAAAGTGACCCTCCGCCATCAGCAGATGAAGAGAAGACAGAAGTTGTTGTGGAACTCAAAGGTAGCAGGAAAACATCAAGAGGAGAAAACATCTTTGACACGTTGCATGTCGTGCATTCTGTGACCCTGACTCTTCTGTTTGTATAAATCAGATGGGTCCATACTGAAAGGTGTAGATGAGAGCAACGCCTTGGTCCTCCCATCCAGCAAATCCAAGAAGAATAAATCCTCGCTGCCACCGATCTCCAAGAAGAAGCCCCTCACCAAGAAGCAGAAGAAGGAGCTGCAGAAGGTCCTGGAGCGCAAGGAGAAGAAAGCTCAGGTTAGGAATCTTCGTACGTTTAGTTCTCTGTGAGGTTTTTCTATTTCATGTCGACATTAATAACTAGGCTGATTACTTTAGTGACAGTGTTCCATTGTTTCTAAAGTCCTGAAAGAAAGTTAATGATTTGGTTTTTTAAATGATCAAAGTGAAGTCAAAGTTGATCCTGAAGATGTGAAAATGTTTGATTTTCCTCAGTAAAGTGGAGCAGATATGTGTTATGTGCCGATAAGTACTCTGACTCTAGATATAGAAGCTGAGTATTGAGCACAGTACGATGTTGTCCTTATATTTACTGTAGCTTGTAGCTTAGCTTGTTCTCTAAAGTAATTTGAGCTATATGCTTGAAAGATTTGAATCAGGTGAAAGTTTGTTGTTATCGTTGTTTTGTTATCAGCACTGAAACATGGATGTTTTTATTGTGTTGTAGTGATATTTTATTATAATAGTGATATTTTATATTACTCTCTGCTCTTTGAGGGCTGAATTTTAACAGTCAAGCTCACATGCCGTTTACATGTTGCTCTCTCTTCTGTCCAGAGAGCAGAGATCCTGGCCAAACTGGCTGAGGTGCAGCTTCCAGAATCCGAACTGAAGCTGCTGTACACCACTTCCAAACTGGGAACAGGAGAAAAGCTCTACCAGGCTAAACGGTAAGAGCACAACACAACGTGTTAATCAAGATGGAGAACATGTGTGATTGTTTCTCGGTGGAGAAGGTGGAGTAAAAGCATCTTGTCTTCTTTTTTTTTTATTCAGGTCAGCAGATGAAGTAAAGAATGAAGACTCTGGCCCAAAGATCAGCAGCGTCAGCGGAGCAAACAGGAAGAGAAAATGGGAGGAAGATGATGATGATGAAGAAGAACAAAAGGCAGAAGAGAGCAGTGATGTGGACACATCATCTGATGAGGATGAAGATGAGCAGGAGGATGAAGTTAGTAACACCACAGATATGAGTGAATGTAAGGAAACCAGCTCTGTCTGTCAGGAGACCAAACATGAAGTGAAGGTGGAGCAAGATGGAGAGAAAGAGAAGAAGATTTCAGATCAGGAGAAAGTTCAGAAGAAGCCGTCTGAACCAGCTATTTTCATTCCTGTTGATAGATCACCAGAAGTACAGGTGAGCACCTGAGACCGTAAAAGCATCCTGCAAAATAGAACTTAGAAAGGTGTTTTTGTGCATTTTCATCAATTCTGCATTACGATGCTGCTGCAGGGGGCTCGTCTAAAGCTGCCCGTTCTGGCAGAGGAGCAGGTCATCATGGAGGCCGTGAGAGAAAATCCCAGTATCGTCATCTGTGGAGAGACGGGGAGTGGAAAAACCACTCAGGTGCCTCAGTTTCTGTATGAAGCCAGCTATGCCAGGTAGTTTTTCCAGTTTATGGTGTTGCCTTTGTAAATGTTTCATTGGAGGAAAAAATGTGTGTGTAGTTCGCGTCATCCTGCTCACTCTTGATTCCTGCAGTGGCGGGAGGATGATCGGCATCACAGAGCCGAGGAGAGTAGCAGCAGTGAGCATGTCCCACAGAGTGGCCAAAGAGATGAACCTGCCCACACAGTAAATTAACCATTCTGTGTTCAGAGTAATAAAAAAAACAAAAACATACAGTTTAAAAGTATAACTTTGTGTTGTTAATTATATGTTTGTGTGTTTGTGTGTCTGTTATCAGGGTTGTGTCGTACCAGATTCGATACGAAGGGAACGTGACAAGTGACACAAAGATAAAGTTCATGACTGACGGTGTTCTGCTGAAGGAGATTCAGAAGGTATCATCTGCTTTCTACTGGGTCACCTAATAAATAATATGACAACAGGATGGAGGTGGAGGATCAGCCAGGTGGATGACTCGGCCTTTTTCATTTTTTGCAAACGATTTCATCAATTTTGACCAGTTAAATCAGTTCTAATGAGGAAAGTTAATGCCTCACTTCCATGTTATGTGTATTAACCAGTAGTAACAAATAGTTTTTGAATTGTGTTCTGAATTAAAGGTCAAAAAATATTTGCAGTATGTTATTTTTCCCCATCTTTGAAGAAGCAGTAAAGGGATAAACAAGCATGGATTTAGTGTTACTTCAATTGTCTCCAGTTTTGTCACAGACTATTTTGTGTTGCAGGATTTTCTGCTCCAGAAATACAGCGCAATCATCATCGACGAAGCACACGAAAGGAGCGTCTACACCGACATCCTCATCGGATTATTGTCTCGTATCGTCCCCCTCAGGAACAAGGTGGGAATATCTTAACGTTTCCAATTTACGGGAAAAAAAGGGGGTTGTTTCTATAAAAACCTCTCCGTTTCTCCTCCGTCTGTCTGCAGAAAGGTATGCCTATGAAGCTCCTGATCATGTCCGCTACTCTGCGGGTTGAAGACTTCACAGAAAACCAGCGGCTGTTTCGGACGCCTCCTCCCGTCATCAAGGTGGATGCTCGTCAGTTCCCGGTAACTATCCACTTCAACAAACGCACCCCGCTGGAGGATTACACTGGAGAGGCTTTTCACAAGACCTGCAAAATCCACCGGATGCTGCCTCCAGGTAGGTTTTAGAGTTTATATTTATTTACTACAGAAAGCGGTGAACAAAGAGGGGGATTTTGATGAAAGTAAAACTGAGGATATGGGTGATGGGGCGCCTCTTTAAGGGGCTGACCATGCGACTCACGTAAGGCCATCTCAAAGCCCTGGGTTCAAATCTACCCAAGGTGGTTTTCTGTATTTGCCTGTAAAAATGACTTGTGGTGTGTCTCATTCGGGTAAACTGCAGTTAGAGTTCAGTCTTTCCACAGATACAGTCTCCACTTCTTTTATAACATGTTTTGCATTTTAGGTGGTATCCTGGTGTTTCTGACTGGTCAGGCTGAAGTTCACAGTCTCTGCAGAAGACTGAGGAAAGCTTTCCCCTTCAGGAAGGGTGACACAGCTACAGGTGAGCAGTCGGCCTCCTCAAACTCTGACGTATATCTGAGCTGGGACTGTGGTTCTGTGTATTTACTTGAGTTTTGTATCCAGCTGAAGATGAGGAAGCCGAAACCTCAGAGGCAATGAGGAAGTTCAAAAAGGCCAAACAGAAGAAGACTGTTGTAAGTACCGTAAACTTTTTAAAAAATATATTCTGTCCATCTCAGTCCTCAACAGATATTGAACAGAAGTGTTTTAACTGTTGTCTCCAGTCTCTACCCCGAATCGACTTGGATAACTACTCCGCCCTGCCAGTGGATGAAGGTGATGAGGACAGAGAGGCGGGGATCGGAGACGAGGAGGATGGAGACTCCGATCTTGACCTTGGAGATGATCCTGCTGATGCAGGTAAGCCACTCTGAATAAATCTCCAGTCCAGGTGGATGCGTTTCAGATGAGCAACATTACAAATTCTGCCCTGTTTCCTCTCCGTAGAGGAAAAGGCGGACGCGTCCATACCGCTCTATGTCCTCCCACTCTACTCTCTGCTGGCCCCAGAGCAGCAGGCTAAGGTGAGATTAATAT